ATTCAAAACAAAATATTATTGATGTTTATTTACTAGTAGATGAAACTGTTTTAATCCCTTATTAATTTTTTTTATAAAAATTTATGTTCATCTTCTATTACCTACCCGCACAAAAAGATAAAAAAATAATAATAATTGCACCCGCATCTCTAGTTACATTAAATAGGGTACAGCCATACTAAAATTAAGATTTAATTTTCGTTTTTTTTTTTTAAATTAATTTCTCTTCTCCAAATTTTTCATGTTAAAAAAAATGAATAATTTACTATGGTCTACTTGTGGTTTTGGTCATTTTTGGGGTAAATTATCATTATCATATGGTACTAGTAATATGTATGTATTTGTTGGAAAGTGATAAATATCTAGTATAATTATAGTACTTTAGAAGATTCGATCTTCCCAATTGCAATTTGTATAGGTATAGCCTGTACTTTTGTTTGTAAGCTCAAGGCAAAGAAATGCTAACTTCTGGTTAATGGAACAAAACAAAAGAAAATCATAATTGAATCCAGAGGCAATTAATCTAAATCCCATTACTTCTTTCTATTAAAAATTATTAAAGGAAGGCATTGAGCCCTCTGGAGTAAGTGGTATTAGCCATCTCAGGATGCACTCTCTCCTCTCCTCGAGTTTGGTTCGACCCGGGCCCTTGTTTACCTGTTCAAAAAAAAAAATTATTAAAGGAAGATCATTCTTCTTCGTCTGTCCAAATCTCCATCTGCTTACACTTGCCTGATAGTGACTCTAATCTCTTAACCAATAAACAAAGCAATATACAATCCTAATAACAACACAATGATATAACGTCATGGTATTTAGAAAAACATTCCCCATAACCTTTGTTTTCTAAAGAAAGAGTATATGGTTTTGAACTTCTTTTCCAATTCCAGATTTTAAAACGATGGGCTTGTCTAATATATCTATTTAGGGTATAGAATAAGAGTACATTAATTACATATTTTTATATTTATTTTTATAAAAAATCTTAAAAGTTGGTCATATTTTTATCATTAATACCATATTGTATATTTTTAATTAAATAATTGATAGGATTAAAGTTATTTCTTAATTTTTTAATATAAGTTAAGTGTAAAAAATATAATAAATACATTCTTAAAATACATGTTAAAAATTTCATAAAATAAAATTGATATAACACAATATAACATGATATTATAAATTTATGTATCATTATATAATTAATTTTTTTATTTATAAATTTACTTAAAATATTATATTTAGTAATTTATTTAATAATAAATTCCACTCGTTTATAATTGTAAACTTAAAATAATATGCAATATTATTATTACTCTCTTTATTTATTTTTAATATATTTAATTTGATTTTTTTATTTTTTATATAT